TCTCGTCATTTGTGAGAGGTTTTGACTTACTTCCTGTTGTAGCACTGGGGGGAAGGAAGTGAAGGAAAATGTCTCCCCAATGGGGACACAGGATAAAATTGTGGCGGAGGTTCCAGCTCTTCTGACACTATCCAAGACACAAAGAATGGCTTTGAAGTTAAAATTAACACAATAATGCCTTCAAATTTTAATTAAATCCCCCAGCATTTTGTGGGAGATGGGCCTCTAAGTGCATGGGCCCCTTATACTACGCTGAATGTATCCTACGTCCAAACATATATATAATATAAGATATAATTGATACATCCTCAGAGTTCTGAACCTTTTACTATGACCACCATAAACATGTGGGCCTCTATGTGTCAGTATATTGATCAGATAATAGACCACTGGCCTCAACTACTGCCATAATACTTTGCATGCATTATACAGATTCCATACATGCAGTGGCGTCCCTAGGAAGGTATGGGGGGTGCACGCCGCACCGGGTGACACCTACCACACAGGGTGACACCAGACCCGCTCCATGAAAAGGTAAGTTGTAAAGCAAGCTGACAATCCCCGCAGGATGGATTGGATCTGCGGATTGAACCTAATGGATCGGAGTCCGATCCATTATGCTCCCTAATCCACAGATCCGATCCATACTGCAGGGATTGTCGGTTTGCTTTACAACTTACATTTTCGTGGAGCGGGTCCGGTGTCACCCCATATAGGTTGCATGCCGATGATACCCGCAAGATGGATAGGATCTGCGGATTGGAGAGCACAATGGATCGGACTCTGATCCATTATGCTCAGTCCGCAGATCCGATCCATCCTGCGGGGATCGTCGGCATGCAACCTATACGGGGCAACACCGGATCTGCTCCAGGCTGCCCATACATCATTCAGTCCCTGCTGAACGACTGAGATTTGAACCGTTTACAGTTGGCTTAGCTCTTTTGTCACACTTTATATGACTGCAGCTATGGACTGATTTACAAAGTTATCAGTTACTACTAAGGAGTCATCCACTTCTGTGTGAAAACAACAGGATTTGTTGTTTTCACACAGAAGGAACCTGAAGTTACTCCTGCTGGCTTAAAAGAATAATGCAAAACATTAAAATAAAGTATATCCTATTAACAGGCCTAAAAAGACATAAAACATATTTCTAGAAACTGTAAACCAACAACTCCACCTATGGTGGGTGCATGCTTGCTGATGATGTCTAAAATCTGCCTGATGGAGGAAATTAGAATTATCAAACAGTTCAAGTTTGCAACCTTTTACTTCATCTGGGAAGGCTGGATAACATTTAAAGCCTTAGAAACCTATAGTGACTGAATGGCCAATATACCCTTTGTGGGATTATCAAATGACTTATTCCATGCAGACAGCTAATTCTAACACCATATTGTTGAACATCTTTATTCGAGAATAAGAATAAAAAACAAGAAAAGACACCAAGATGCATGTTTTCTCCCTTTCTCCCCCCTTCCTATTTTCTTTTTTCTTCTTTGTGTGGGTAGTGCTACCCCGTAGGGGTCACTAGTAATAGCTGGTTCTTCCCTAGTAATACAGAGGCTGCCCATCACCACAAGCACCAGCTCCAATAACTAAGTCTAATGGATGTCTTTTTTAAATATATTGCTTGCAGGAGAGAGGTTACGGCACTGGGTATTCCAAAATACTGCACAGTAACAGGAGGCCACACTTCTCTAGACTCCCACTCCAATATTCTGCTGAGGACAGGGGAATGGCCAATATTCTGAGACCCTGTGAGAGCCATCTCAGTCCAAGCTACCTTGGGCACTTATATCCCAAATGCACACGCAGTCACCAGGACACAGTTCAGGGTCATTACACACAGCCGCACACCTTTTAGCTTCCTCTGGACACAGTCCAGTGAGGGAGAAAATCCGTCTCCAGACCCAATCCCCATGGTGAATTCCCACAGCCAGCTCCTCAGAAGATCACTCCACGCCTAAGCCCTGACACTGCTGGGGCCTCAAGAACAGCTACAAAGTCCATAGGCTACCTCAGATTCTGAACACTCCTCTCCAGGGATTGGCTAGGTCGTGATACATATTCAGGCTTGTCATTTGACTCTCCCTCCCAGTTATCTGGAAGTTTCTTTCAGAGGCAGGGTGAAGCAATCAAACTCCAAGCCTGTGAAACCCTGAACAGACCAGAACAAAAACCACTGTTCCTTTGAATACAGAAGGAGCCAAAAACTACATTTGCCTAGCATCCTACTCTAGGAGGGTGCTACATTTGCATACGCTATATTGCCAAAAGTATTGGGACGCCTGCCTTTACACACACATGAATTTTAATGGCATCCCAGTCTTAGTCCATAGGGTTTCGATATTGAGTTGGCCCACCCTTTGCAGCTATAACAGCTTCAACTCTTCTGGGAAGGCTGTCCACAAGGTTTAGGAGTGTTTCTATGGGAATGTTTGACCATTCTTTGCGAAGCGATTTGTGAGGTCAGGCACTGATGTCGAACGTGAAGGCCTGGCTCTCAGTCTCCGCTCTAATTCATCCCAAAGGTGTTCTATCGGGTTGAGGTCAGGGCTCTGTGCAGGCCAGTCAAGTTCCTCCACCCCAAACTTGCTCATCCATGTCTTTATGGACCTTGCTTTGTGCACTGCTGTGCAGTGAAGTTGGAACAGAAAGGGGCAATCCCCAAACTGTTCTCACAAAGTTGGGAGCATGAAATTGTCCAAAATGTCCTAGTATGCTGACGCATTAAGAATTCAACGGGAACTAAGGGGCCAAGCCCAACTCCTGAAAAACAACCACACACCACAATTCCCCCTCCAGCAAACTTTACACTTTACAATGCAGTCAGGCAAGTACCATTCTCTTGGTAACCTGCAAACCCAGGCACATCTATCGGATTGCTAGACAGAGAAGCGTGATTCATCACTCCAGAGAACACGTCTCTACTGCTCTAGAGTCCAGTGGCGATGTGCTTTACGCTACTGCATCCGACGCTATGCATTGCACTTGGTGATGTAAGGCTTGGATGCAGCTACTCGGTCATGGAAACCCATTAAATGAAGCTCTTTATGCACTGTTGTGCTAATCTGAAGGCCACATGAAGTTTAGAGGTTTTTAGCTTTTGACATTGCACAGGTGGCAACCTTTCACGGTACCACGCTTGAATTCACTGAGCTCCTGAGAGCGACCCATTCTTTCACAAATGTTTGTAGAAGCAGTCTGCATGCCTAGGTGCTTGATTTTATACACCTGTGGCCATGGAGGTGATTGGAACACCTGAATCCAATGATTTGGAGGGCTGGACCAATACTTTTGGTAATATAGTGTATATTTGAAGACACATTGTTGTGTTTGTATTACTTACTTTGGTGAAAGGACAAAGGGATAGTTCTGCGTAAAATGCAGCATGTGATTATGTTTTATGTTTGCAGTATGTTATACAATAAGGAATGCATACCTCAAAGATGGGTTGTAATTAAAAAAGTATTTTAAAAAATTATATATTTAAAAATGTATTTCTTTGCCCTAAACATGATAGATAAAGATAAAAATACAAAACACAATTGCCAAACCATTATACACTTTTTTTAAAAAAAAATATATCAATGATTGGAATTTTAATAAGGGAAAGAATCGTGTGAAAAGGATTAAAATGTGTGAAAACCCCATAGTAGCCAATTAACAATGATCTTTTATTATTTGAGCTGATTGACACTGATAAAAGTAAAACTTTGATTTGGAGTGTTCACACACCCACACACACATACACACTATACATAGGATAACAATAACATTGAACTGAATAGTAGCAAACATACATTTTTGAAAACAGGAACTTTGCAAACACCAAACTATTACAACAAAGAAAATGTATAAAATGCCATTTTATTAGATCCAATCTTCAAAATAAAAAAGAGAATACACTGTACAGGGTAATATACAAAAATGGCGATGGTTTGGCTGCATTCACCAAAAAGAGAAAACCCAAATGCGTTTCAATTCATAAGGTTTATATTCTGAATCTTCTTCAGGGGGGAACAGTAGAATACAGCTAAAGAGTTATCGCCATATATTATGTCAAAGATAGAAGATTTGTACTGGTTAACTTCCGGCATGACATAAGCAATTGGACCCTCCAGTGATCCAGCTAGGTAAATATAAAATCCAATTACGTAGTGGAAACCAATACAAAGGCTGTGGTGGACTGTAAGTACCTGGGCACCCAAGCTTAAACAGAGTATATTCAAACTGATTATCTGAACTGAATGCAGGTAATAGGACCCCGGTTAGATTTATAATGTGTGGTAGTTCCTACAATTGTTCTTCTATCAGAAATCAAAATATAGAACTTCCAGTGTATATCAAAGCACAGCCACATGAACATTTTGGCTGTGGTGTACTGAGGCTCTGATATTCTGGCACAAGATGGACTGTGCTTTGATATACACTAGAGGCTCTATATTGTGATTTTCTGGTAGAGGAACAATTGCAGGAATTAAAACACATTATACATTTAACCGGGGTCCTATTACCTGCATTCAATTCAGATATTCAATTTAAATATACTCTGTTTAAGCTTGGGTGCCCAGGTACTTACAGTCCACCACAGCCTTTCTATTGGTTTCCACTACGTAATTGGATTTTATATTTACCTAGCTGGATCACTGGAGGGTCCACTTGCTTATGTGATGCAGGGAGTTAACCAGTCAGAAAAAATCTTCTATCTTCTATCTTTTGACAGTGTATTCTCCTTTTTGTTTTTAACTAGTTGCCGACCGCAGATAGCCGAATGACGGCTTCACTGCGGCCGGCCAGTTCTGGGTGGACGTCATATGACGTCCCCCCAGAACGCGCTCTCCTGCGCGCCCCAGGGGGCGCGCACCCGGCGATCTCCGTGATCGCTGTGTCCTATGGACACAGCTGATCACGAGATGTGGTAAAAGGCCAATCATACCGGCCTTTTACCACGTGATCAGCGGTGTCCAATGACACGCTGATCACAGGGAAATGCAAGTGCCGGTTCTCGGCTGCACTTTCCTCACGCTGTCAGATCGTGAGGAAAGTACTGCCGAGAACCGGCAGTTGTCAGAGCGGGGATCGGCACCGATCATCAGGGCACTGATGATCAGTGCCCTGATGATCGGTGCCCAGCAGTGCCACCCACAAGTTCCGCCCACCTGTGCCCAGCAGTGCACCCACTAGCTCCGCCCACCTGTGCCCAGCAGTGCACCCACCTGTGCCCTGTGCCCAGCAGTGCACCCACCTGTGCCACTCTGCAGTGTCACACACCTGTGCCCAGAAGTGCCAACTACCTGTGCCCAGCAGTGCCACCCACCTGTGCCCACACACCTGTGCCCACCAGTGCCACCCACCTGTGCCCACCAGTGCCACCCACCTGTGCCTACCCACCAGTGCTGCCCACCAGTGCCACCCACCAGTGCAGCCCAGCAGTGCTGCCAGTTAGTGCCACCAGTCAGTGCCCAGCGGTTGTGCCAGTCAGTGCCGCCAGTCAGTGCCCAGCAGTGATGCCAGTCAGTGCCATCTATCAGTACCCATCATCAGTGTCACCTATCAGTGCCACCTATCAGTGCTGCATATTAGTGCCGCCTATCCGTGACACCTCATTAGTGCTGCCTATCAGTGCCGCCTATCCGTGCCACCTCATTAGTACTGCCTATCAGTGCCCTTTAGTGCTGCCTATCAGTGTCCATCAGTGCCGCCTATCAGTGCCCGTCAGTGCTGCCTCATCAACGCACATCAGTGAAGGAGAAAAATTACCTGTTTGAAAAATTTTATAATAGAAACAAAGAAACTTTTTTTTTTTTTCAAATTTTTTTGCACTTTTTTAATTTATAGCGCAAAAAGTAAAGCGCCCAGTGGCGATTAAATACCACCAAAAGAAAGCTCTATTTGTGAGAAAAAAATGATCAAAATTTCATATGGGTACAATGTTGCATGACCGCGCAATTGTCAATCAAAGTGCGGCAGCGCTGAAAGCTGAAAATTGGCCTGGTAAGGAAGGGGGTATAAGTGCCTGGTAGGCAAGTGGTTAAGATTGGATCTAATAAAATGGTGTTTTATACATTTTCTTTGTTGTAATATTTTGGTGCTTGAAAAGTTTTCAAAAATGTATGTTTACTATTGTTCTGCTAGTTGGGATATAAGCAGTATATAGTATAACTGGCCAGTACCATATATTCTAAAACATTGAATTGAATGTTTTTTTATTGTACCTTTAATTCTGCAGAGAGAGGCTAGTATTCTGAATCACATTTATAGTATTTCTGTTCAGAAATAATACACCCCTAACTTGTACAAACAAACAATTTGCTATGTCAATCACATGTGACACAGAGCTTTATAAGACTAAAATATTTTGACTTTAAATTTTCTTCCTGTTGATTTTTTTTTCAGCTAACAAATTAGGTCCACTGATTACAGCTATGCACCTGTTTCCAAGCAAGCACTCTGACTGTAAAAAGTAGCAAAACTAAGTACCCCAGTCTCATTGGTACATGGTAGAAGGATGACTTTATCATGGACAACCTCAGCGGTAGATTAAAAAACTTTTCACTTTGGCATAATTTTTTATATGTCTTCACACTGTATTTTTCTAATGAAAGGTTCTTCCTATAATAAAGCTTACCTGTCGGTAAAATAAATATCTCCTAAATGTGCAAAATTTAGACGATATATGCTCTTTATGACGCATGCGCTCTGAAGGAATGGCATGCCCGTGCTGTTCCTTCAGAGGATTGTGCTGTGGCCCGAGACTCCCGTACGCATGCGCGGGAGTGATGTCATCACAGCTCGGCCAATCAGACAGCCAGAGCTTGCAAACCTGGAAGAAAGACTGGGTAAAGATGGAAGCCCTGTCAGTGGTGACAGCGCACTGCTGGAGGACTTCATTTTAAGGTAAGTCATTCATAATGTGCTAATATGCAATGCATACTAGCAGATTATGACATTACCTTGCAGAGGATTTTTTAATTTTCTTTTTTCGAGTTACTACTGCTTTAAGGGAAATCTGTCAGGATAGAAATGGGATCACTGTCACTAACTACTTGTTTTTCGAGGTGCAAGCTTTGGAGTGATCATTATGTTTCATGTTTTGCTACTGAACCACTGGCTGGAACATGCATGACGGTAAAGAATTAAAGTGGTATTAAACCCCAAACCAAAAATGTAATATATTGCAGTTTATCAATCCTTATATGTATTTGCTGCATTAGTTTTCTTTTTAGCCTTTTCCCCTCTGTTTTCACCTAATGATTTGGCCAGTATCAAACCTCCTGTATTAAAGTGCCTCCCTTTTGGATGAATAAGCACAAGAGCACCTTTGGACAGCAGCACTGTTAATCTGAGGGGAGGGAGTGTTAAATATACTAGCAGATTTAGGTAGACTAGCAAACTTTAGCAAAACTCCAGCTCACACTGCAACAGTTTTTTTTCTTTTGGGATAAAGGTTTTACATGAGTAAATAAAAGTTGATCATTGTAAGCACCCCTGTCAGTGTTAAACGGTTTGTCTCAGCCCTCAAAAGTGCTACATTTGCAGGACAGGTTATTCTGTTCAAAATCAACAGACTTACTGGCTGTATCACCACCGGAAAATAAAAAGGAAAGCAAAAAAGGGAAAAGGAATACAGCCAACACACCTAAGAATTGGTAAGCTGCAATGTAACAAATGTTTGCTTTTGGGTTCATACTGCTTTATTTTGCTGTATATTTGTTACAGATTAGTGACTCACCATGTAGTGAGGCATGGACAAGGCTGACAGCCCTGTGCTTTCATCTTTTTAAAGAATAAAGTGGTCCATTTGTGAGACTCACACTTTGAAGGTTTGGCTTTAATAGCTAAATCTCGAACTGGTCAGGAGACTGCCACTCACCAAAATGTCCAAAATGAGACTTCTTAGTCTCTTTCTTTATTTAAAAAATTTAACTAGACCTCTTTCTCTTGTTTGCAGAAATGGTTAGGCAATCATGGGGTCTGATCCCATTCTTTGAGGTCTCAGGTTTTAAAATTAATTAGAATAATTCAGCAGTTGTCAACAAAAATATTACCCCAGAAAGCACTCCTAGTTTTGATTTTCAGCGGAAAGCAAATGGCTTAAAATATTTGGGTATTTAGCTAGTATAATTCTCGAATGATATATACCATGCTACTTACACACAAGAGATGTGTATGATGGAATAATTTGTTTTGTAACTTATTCGTTCGTTAAGTTATTAATTTAGTTTCATTTATGTTAGAATGAATCATTTTTGGAATTCGTTTATATATGATTTGTTTTATATTAGTATAATCGCATTCGTTTCTTAAATTCATTATTTTAAAATTGTTTCAAAATTCGAATTTATAAACTCCAAATTCTAATTTCGGAAGACAGCTATATTAATTCTATTCCTTTATTATCTACTCTATTCTGTTTTATTCTATTCTTTTATATTCTAGTCTATTCTAAAGCAACCCAAGTAGGAATCATCATTTTATTTCACTTATATCACTTATTTCACTTTTATACTTTACTGTATTTATTGCAATGTTTCAATTGTTAATTCAAATTCATATTCGAAGTCGAATTCATTTTTTAAGTCGAATTCAGAATATATTTGTTTTGTTAGAATATATTTAGAATTCTTTGAAATCCGCTACTATTGTGATTTGGAAATTCGGAAACATCTGAATCTTGGAATTTTGTTTCATAACAAAACAAATCACACATGTCTATGTACACCCCTATTTTGAGAATATTGCATCTGCAGCCCATGGCACACATATAAGATTATTACTAGGCTGAATGCTTGAACATTTTTATCTCTACACTATACCTGTTTCAAGTCTATCCCCACTGAAAACCCCACTGAAGAGATTATAAGACTGTCAATCACATTTTATGAGGTTTGTATGACTAGGCAAAAAAACAATTTAAGTGCTCAAAATTAGCTAGATGTAAGACACAAGAAGCACCTGGGCTTCCTATGCTTTCCTAGTATTAGTGTAATGCTGCCTCCCCAACCCATATTTTTCAGTGGGGTGCTGAAAACCAACTCTGGGTTGAAATCAACTCTAGTTAAAACATTGCCCTGATCCCATCTCCTTTGGGTGATTCCAGGAGCTGCAAGTCAGTTGATGGCTTACTCTGTCTTACATACTCTTGTCTGTCTTGTGTTCTTTGACTTTTTGGAAAATAACCTTTTGGTTATCTATGGGTCAAGAAGAAAATTGAGATATAATAATTGAGGACATACACATCTCCCAATATACAGTAGTTAGAAAGAGGATGTAAAATGTTCTATTCGTCTAGCCAGTCTGATATGGGGGTGCAGTAAAAAATGTCAGGGGGCAGAGGATAGGAGGTCAGCAAGGCAGTGCACAAAAACAGGAATGAGTAGTGGAGTGTACTTGGGGTCAGCAGAGAAGAGGACAGTAATTAGCAGAGCAAAAGGATGGGATCCGCAGTTTGTAGGGCACTTGGGGTCAGCAGGGCAGAGGACAGGCGGTCAGCAAGGTGGAGGACAGGGGTCAGTATGGTAGTCTATTGCAGGAGTCAGCAGTTTGTAGACCAGTGTACAGGGGGTCAGTATGGTAGTCTATTGCAGGAGTCAGCAGTTTGTAGACCAGTGTACAGGGGGTCAGCAGGGCAGAGGATGGTCTATCAGCAGGGGAGTGTACAGGGATCAGTATGGCAGTGTACAGGAGTCAGCAGAGCACAGGACATATAATATGTTTTTAAAGGCGAACTTAGCCTCTAAACAGTATAAACAATATGCAAACATTGACAATATTAACAAAATACCCATATTGAGTAATCTGACTGGCTTTACAATTAAAAAGTCAAAACAGGATGACAAAATGTGAGCAAGACTGGGATAATGAAAGATATGGGGCACCCTGGAAAAGAACAGAGAAATAAATTCTGTGGCTGGCCAGTGGGAGGGTCTTAAAAGGGACTTGAACAGAATTTGTGCCTGCTGTATACAATGCACACCTATACCACACAATACTGGTCTGGCATTTTTTTGCTCGCTGATAGCTAAAAAGAGTGGGAAATTTGATTAAAGAGTGAAAAAGTTTTACTTTTGACTGCTGGTGATTGCTGGCACTTGTAGTTGTTTTATTTTCTTCTTTGGGTCAAGCTAAAAGCTTTTACTTTTTTAAATCACTTTTTCTGTCACTTTTTAAATAGCATTTTTTTTTCTTCCTTGTCTTCCTGCAGTCTGCTAATTAAGGGGAGGGGTTAATTGGTCACAGGTCCTATATAACTTGCTCTAGAGCTCACTCTGAGCTTGCCTGTATTTTGCTTGCTCGACCATTGATTATAACAGGAGTCGACTAACCTGTAAGTGACAACTGATATTCCCTGTTAATATTGTAACTGGGATAATGTGTGCTAGCAGGGTGGAAGGTTTTGTGCAGTGCACAGTGTGCCACATGTATGCAGTAATGGAGAAACAGCTCTAGGATGGAAACTGCTGCGACAGATGTGAGTGGCTTGCCCTTAGAGATCTGGAGG